TGCTACTTAAGTAGTTAGAAAGTACATAAGTGAGAAACAGGCAAAGTTATTTTACATGATAATAAGATAAGGGCTGAGAAGAAGAAAGGCTGGAATAGAGTATTGACTGCCTTAGGTATCACCTACCTCACTACCTCCTATCAGAACTGAAGCCTTGATCCCTGAGCTTCTAGAAGTCCTATCTTTTCACAGCTCTTAGGGTACATTCAGAGTTTTAAAAACTACCTCTCCCTAATTGCAGCCTCTTCCCAGGGAAGCTTGCATCCAACAGCCTGTTATTACAGTATTACAGAGACTAAAGCTTGCCCCACACCAGGCTACTGTGACTTGCACACTCTTTATAGGATTGTTGAGGCCTTTGTTGCAACTATGAGGCAGTTTAACTTCTCTATATAAATGTTTTATTTTTTACTTCCATCCAACAATTGGTCCCAAGTACTTCCAAAGTACTTCATGCACACAAATACCCATCTGATTCCATTTCCCAGGAAACCTGACCTTCACAAATGGGAAACCATTCTTTCATATGTGGACAGGAAATAGGTCAGGGATCACTGAATATCAGTACCCTGAGAGAAGAATGAGTTTGGAATGAAACATAATGTGTGAGAGCTGGGTCAGAGAGATGGGGAAGGATCGGAACACAGGGCCATTCAGGCCAAGGTTAAACTCTGGAACTTATTTTAAATATGAAAGAAAGGACTTAAAACATTGCAATAAAAATAATGTATTAATTAAAAGGCTAAAATTCTCTGTTGCATAGGGAAATTGATTATACCAAGGACTTGGTAAAGAGCAAATATAAAATGAAGCAGGCCATTTAGGCAGCAATTGTAAAAACCAAGAAGAAAGATATTGGATGGACTGGAATGGTAGTCCTAGACATGAAGATGTGAACAAATTCTGGAAGCATGTTCGAGGCTCCATTCATCAGGACGGAGAATACAAAAGGGGAAAACTAGGGATGGGATAATTTAATCATCTGTTTCAGAAATTAGCTTTGAGATGCTTTTTAGGGGCTTAGAGTTACACAGACATGGTTCTTGGGGGAACTATGTATGCATATTTTTTTCAGGTGCATGAAGAATAATAAATCTTTTCATTGGAGGATGATGGAGCTTCCACTGAATTTTTTATATTTACTCTTGGAAATATTGACATGAAATCATTAGCTGGGTTGACTGAGGAGTAAGTCTTAAATATTTGAACAAAGAGAATATGATCAAGTTATTCAATAGGACTTGGTCATTTGTAACCTAAATCTGCAGCAAAACAAGTTTCTTTGTGTAATTTTATGCATACTAATCATTAATCTGGCGAGCAAATGGAAAAAATGGACTGGTGGGTTCAGTCAGGAATGAGATGATATAAAGGAAAGGCACTGAAGAGAAAGGCACAGATCTAGGGTGAAAATATTTACAAACATCCATTAAAATAACAAAATCTGAAACAGGTTGAAAAGGGGAAAGCCAACATGCAGAAGATTTGAATAGTAAGAGTGATAGGGTCAGTTAAACACTTGAGAAAAAGAGTTGATGCCTTTGGATTAAATAAGGGAACTAGAATGATAAGGAATAGAGAATGCTACTGCTTAAATGAATATATACTCAAAATAAAGAGATATCTTGGGAGTGAGAGCCTGAGATGTGAATGAAGTAGGAAAATGTATTGACTGAGAACAAATTAAAAGACACCTTAATTAGATATTGCACAAGCTATTCTTATAAATATTGAAGTTCCCAGCAGAAAAACAGAACAAAAAGAATCAGCCAGGCACTGAAAAGTCATCACTGATTGAAAAGTAGGAGCAGGAGGTTAGTGGATGACAGCTGGAAGTGGCATTAGCTATTGGAAAATTTATACACTACACTTCGTGAGAATTACACTTTTAAAGTGTGCTGGGGGATAAATGGTTTGGGCCAAGCAGATAGAGCAAAGTATGCAACTTTCCTAACTGCATACCTTCAGAACTGTAGAGAATGAGGAGAAGAGAGTCCCATCATCAGAGAGACAAGAGGAAGGTCATGTCCACAGGAAGCAATCTGATTACACTTAGTTTAAGACAACGCCTGTGTTATTTGGAGAGGCTGAAATAATGCAGGATTACCCAACAATACTTTCTGGGTTGCAGAAGGAGAGAGAGAAGGCGTAGAAAGCTTGGATGTCAGAGATGAGTTTTGAGGAGACATGTGCACAACTGTACAGAGATCAAAGTTTAGATATTGATGGGTAATCTATAATGTTTAATCAGATGCCAGTGGTTCTCCACTGGGTGATTTAACATCCTTAAGGATTTGCTTTCTTAAAGATTTTTAATTTAATAAAAAATGTTTACTGAGTCATGATGATAGTTAACTATCAAAATATATTGCCTTATGGTGGATTGTTTTCTTTACTGCTTCCCACATCATTTAGCAATGCAATAGCAATATGTGGTATTTCAAGGTAAGATTAAAGTAAACATGCTAGAACACTGTCTAGATAAGGGAGATTTGAAGAACTAGTAAAGGGAGAAAAATATACTAGGATGCCAAGTATTCAAGCATAGTATGAACTACATATTCATTCATTTGGGATTGCAAATGGTACTTTGTCTTCTAAGTTCATGAATTACTAAATTTATGAAATGCTTTCTTTTGATTTTTCCCTTTTTTCACTCTCATCCTGTTGTTTCATGTGCTTATACCCACCAGTCAATCAGTTAGCCTCCAACGTAATGCACAAGGATTAATGTGTTTTGTTAGAGAGTAATATCGGACATGAAATAGATTCCCTGGAAATTCTAGGAGTTATAAAACATTGAGAAGAGTTTATCTGAGAGAAAGTCCTCTCCGTGTAATTTTTAAGATGTGGAGTCCTAAAAATTAAGTGTGAAAACTGATTCTAGATTAGGTAGCAGTGATTTTTCCAGCTGTATGTGGAGAAGCACTAGGAGGAAATAAATGAGATTGCTTTTTTACAGTTACATTTAATTGGGCAATAATTTGTCACAGAATTTTGGATTCATAACTCCAAGTATGTATGATTTAACTTTGTATATATATGCTCTCTGTTGAGCAGGAGCATTTTTATTCCTCAGAAAGAAATCCAGATTTTATAAACACCAATAAGAGTGTGTATATTACTTAGAGTATTACAAACTCATGGAATAGTAAGTTAATATTAAGTATTATTAAGGTAAGTGCACTTCCCCTTCCCTCAATACATTTTAAAGTATTTAGAAAATTGTGATGTTTAGAAATCTTTGTAAAGAAATTGATATAGGAGACAAGGCATGGCAAAGCTGGCTGTGGAAATGAGTGAGTCCTGTCAATTGCAAAATTCAGCATAGTGCCAAATAATTCTCCACACCCTGAGTGTGGAACTTCTTATGGGCTCCAGGGGACGTGGACAGCACAAAATAGCCCCGGTGTCAAGGGGAGCAGGTATGGTGACTTCCCACCAGAGTCCATGCTGGGTTTCCCAGATGCGGTGTGTACTTCTATTTTCACTTTTATCTTGTTTTTCTCTTATTCTGCATGTTTATTCTGCAGAGCTGGTCTCCCTCACACCCACTCACCTCTCACTTTTGAAATAAACTTTTGGCACATTTTGTTCAATTCTGTGTTCAAAGCAAGAAGGGCCTGGAATACTCTTGATTGGTGAGCCACTTCTGAAGAAACTACCAAGTAACAAAACTATTTCTAACATAAAATATTTTTTCTAAAAATATGTCAAAATTATAGTTTAGTTATAGTTATAAGGTGAAACACAGTTGGATTTTTCTTTGAAGTTTAAAATATGGAATTTCTTTTTTTTTTTTCTTTTGAACCAGAGATCATGGAATTTCAATTAGGCATTTCAGAATTACTTAACCTGTGGACTAGTGTGAAGTATGTGTGTGCGTGTGTGTGTGTGTGTGTGTGTGTGTGTGTACACGACTTTAAAATTTTACTGCCCCCTTCTAAATGAATAGCAAGATAAATTAATTTTAAGAAGTTTCATCGTATATCAATACACTGAACTTTTAGAGAGTACTATGAATTTTTTTCCATAAAAAGGGAAGCACATTTTAAATTTAACAGTCTTTTCTTTAAAACTACATCATCTGGAAGAACATTAATAAAATACTTAGAGCAAAGTGAGTTTAAAAAATAAAATATTTTGTTTAAAAAGCAAAATTTAAATGCTACTTTAAATTATTCCTCTAGATTCTATAGAACATTCCAAATTTGGGTAAGCAATATGATATATATGAGGTATAGACAGCCTCCAGAATATTTAAAAAATAAACCCATTTGAAAGTACTTAGAAATCACTATTCATAATCTAACTTGCAGTGTATCATCAACTGGCCATTTGTTAAACATATAGTAAGGATTAGGGAATTTCATTCTGCTCATATCTGAACAATCCATCAACTTGTGATTTATGTAGAATCTATATTAGCATTTAAATGATTCTGAGGTAACCTTGTTAATGCCTGGAAGCAACACCATAGAGGAAAGTAAGGTATGAATATACATTTTAAGAGAGCAAATTCAAATGTATGCAGCTCCATCATGGTTTCTTAACTTACTATCAGGTCACATGTGTACACTTTGAATTAACTAAATGACCAATAAAGGCTAGCTATTCAAAAGTTAGCAACTCCTTTATAACCCTGGAAGTTAAGTCTCTTCACTTTTGGAGTCCACAAAGAACTCTTCAGAAAACAAATTAAAAAGAGATATCGACAAAACCAGTAGAAGATACGATTTCATTTCTTAAGAATTAGTTTGTGTGTTGCTCTGCTTAAGGATTGTGATACCTGATAATCCAACTTTTCCCTATTTTTATATGCTGTAATTATTTTATGAATGAGACCATAAAAATATATTAAAGGTAGAAATTTTAGAAATTGAAGGAAAATTTAAGCAAATGAATTCCATACACAGAATGCAACTAACATAACATAGTCCTCAATCAACCTTTAACCTAGAGGCAGTGTGAAATGTTTGCTCATTAAAGATTCACATCAAATACTTACCTGGCAGGGGAGATACCCTGATCATGAAGGTTGTTTTCCCAGGGTGAGGCTTATCCATTGCACTGCAAAAGTGCCGACCCCTGCGATTTTGACAAATATGAGAAACTACACAATTTGTGGTAGTGGAGGAATGTGTTCTCAGTTTTCCCTGAGGGGAAAGAAAACCCACTTTAAAGTCACTCTTTTGTAGCAGCAACCTTTTAGTGAAAAGCTTATTCTCCTTGTTTTTTTCTAGCTATAACCCTAGGTGAAGAGGAAAAGCTCACAAGTCAACAGAGAAACTGAGTCACAGGTAAAGTGAGTTACCCAGCATTAAACGAGGGGTCATGACAAAAGAATTCCATGTTTTGTTTCCAATCTATGCACACATCGTATTTAACTGGACAGGAGTTCTGACTCTAATTGATTTTGGATTTAACATTGTTTCTTTAATAAGAAAGACTGAAGTGGGTCCCATGAATGTTTCTTTTACTGTCCTTGGTCCTTGTAAATTCTCTAATGTTTCCATAGAAACACTAGGATCTCTGTGTTTCAGTGAAATGCTTTGTGTGTAAGATGATGCTGTATGTGGCAATCCAAACTTTGACAAGAAACCTTATGCCAAGGAAAGTTACAAGAAAATTGAAAATGAAATTAAAGGATTACTTTCGAATACTGAGAGTTTAAGGGATGAATTTTCTAAGATTATTCTATTGTATGATGAGATTCAGTGTTTAAAAAAATAAATGCAGCAAATCAAACAATCAAGCTTTCATTCTGCTTTGGCCCAAATGAACATAGATTGGGGATAGCTTTGGAAAGAAAAAGAATCAGAAATGTTTGTTTTCTTAATACTAACTTCCTTTTCTCTGTAGGGTTTCTGCTCTCATTATCTCATCTTTCTATTGTAATGAATAGAGACAGAATCTAGTAAACTTACTTATATTTGCTCACTTTCCTACTGGTTATGTTAGTGTGATTTTTCCATATTGTGTGGTAATAAGGAATTTGCATACCAAGTCTTTTAACCCTACCCTGTATAATGAAATTTTTATATACCTAATAATGGTATTTTTCAGATAAGGAACTATTTAGAAAAGTAATAAGGTTAGAAATTATGAGGTCATATATGGTTTGTTTATATAAAGATAAAAATAATCTTATTTTTTGGAGTTTTCCAATTTTTACATGATTTACAGGTCAAAACAGAAATATTTGACCAAGTAAAGCAAAATATAAGTAGATTAATAAAAGAAATGCTAAGCACCTCTCAAGAAGACACAGATGGAAGAATGGAGAACAGAAAAAGAGGGAGAATCATTCCATGAAGAATATAAAGAAAATATATAGTACATGATGTAGGTTCAAAGAGATTATCAGGAAATTAAGAACTCCATGGAAAGCTGGCAAAACTGCTCGAAAGAAACTAAGGATAGATTATCCAAACTGGAGGACAGGTTTGCAATGTGGGATTATGAAAGGAAAAATTTCTTAAAAAATAACAAGAAAACAAGCAGTAACAATACAAAGTCTAGAAGACGACAAGAGGATCTATAACTTGAGAATAAACAACGTGAATGAAGAAGCAGGAGTACAAAGAAAGGAACTGCAAAGGCTATTCACAGAAATAATTAAGGAAAACTTCCAAACATAGGAAAGGAAATGATATTCTGATATATGAGGCATACAGAACTCCAGCCACCTAAAACCAAAACAGAACTATACCCAGGCCTATAATAATCAAGATCCCAGACATTCAATATAAAATCAGAATATTAAAAGCTACCAAAGACAAGAAACAAATACTTACAAGGGAAAGTCCATAAGAATTAAGGCAGATTTCTTGACACAAGCCATCAAATCAAGATGTGCCTGGAGTGAAATATTCCAAGCCCTGAAAGAAAATAACCTCCAGCCCAGATTAATGTACCCTGAAAAACTATCTTTAGAAATTATGGAGAAGCAAGATGCTTCCAAGACAAAGAGGAACTGGGAAATTGCGACCATCAATCCAACTCTACAGAGAATACTGCAGGGCATTCTTTTTTTTTTTTTTTTTTTTTGTCTTTTTCCTTTTTATCGGTACCGGGGATCAAACTCACACTGCCTGCTTGCAAGGCAGGCACTTATGCCGCTGAGCTAAATCCCCAGCACTGCAGGACATTCTTAAGAGGGATAAAAGTACCAGGACTTCAGGAACAGTGGCAGAGAGGCCTCAATGAATGGAGCAGAAAATGAAATGAAGAAGAAAAGCAGACAACTAATGACAGAAAAAGAGAACATCAGAAATGAGGCAGAGAAGGTTGGCTATAATCTCTAATATAGATGGCCTTGATACACTAAATTTAAAAAAAAGAGAGACTCATAGGAAGAGTAGATCAGGAGTACCGAGATGCTCTTTATAGGAAATATAATTTACCTGAAAAAGGGTATATGGACTGAAACTCAAATATGAGAAAATAATACTCTTGGTGACAGGGAGCCAGAGAATAATAGGGGCAACTAGACTAGTATTTGAGGATAGGTGGGAAAGGCAGGCTTTAATAGGTAAAGGAATACAACTAGAGATCAAGTCCAGGAGGGAGAAGGTTCGAAACCACTTAGGTAAATGGCAGGTTGCCCCTCCCAATTTAAAACCAAGGGTGTTAGTGAGACCCAAAAATGCACAGTGCATCCTGGGGGAGTGAAAGGGGGAAAATAGTCTTAAAAAAGACAGCAGAAGACTTTGTTAATAGTGTATCAGGAATCAGAACCCATATTACTTGCACCGCTCTGCTTTGATAAAACATTCTGCCCCAGTTTGTCTACAAGCACTAGATCTGAGGTCACAGACAGCCATCCCAAAATATCAGGATATAGCACAGTAATCATCTTTAATTTCCTATTAACTTAATCTGGAGCTCTGCATAACCTATACTGTTATATCATGATGAATCTTAGTTAAATCTGGTTTGTTTGATTGCTGTTTGTTATCGACAGATTTTATTCAAAACTGTTATAATTGATAGTATCAAGTCTGAGAGTATAGGCAACTACACTGAAGGTGATAAAATTCACTATGATACCCATTCTGACTTGATTACTACCTGTTTTTGCAGTTTTACACTATCTACAAAGTTGTGTTTTTATCAATACTCTTATATACTGATATATTCAATTATACTATATCTGATGATATAGCCAATTCTACTGAAGATAACAAGAAATAGCACAGTAACCATGGTAGAACTCCTTGTACAGTGGTTTTATATGACTTTTTTGTTTTGTGTATCTATAGGAAGATGTTTTGTTCTGTCCTACTTTGTTTTCTTTCCCCCTCTAATATACAAAGGATAGAAATACATGTTAAGACTCATGCAGGCATAGAACCTATAAACAGTTTACAAGAACAATCTTACGACAGATGATGAAAGGAACAAATATTTTGAAGAAAAAAAGACACTACGGTACCCAGTGCTGATCCCGGAGTGTCATGATGTAAAATCCAACAATACTATTATTCTTTGTCCAGAGTGATTTTAGTCTGCTTTGGTTTGTTTAATCTCAACGTAAATAAAGATATGGATAACTGCATATATGTTTAAGTGTATAGGACTGATAACCATATTACTAAGTTTTTGTTAGACAGTTGAATAGAACTATTTGCAATCTTGCTGTTTGAATTCCCACTTATATGTTCCACTTTTGTATCTTGAACAATTATCTGTAAGAGGACAATATGTAAACATCAACTAGGGATTTATTACTGTTTATTTTTTTCTTTTTCCTTGAATGTATATACGATACCTACCCATTTACTATTTTGCTTAGTCTTTCTTTAAATAAAAAAATAAATAAAATTTTAAAAATCAAATATATACCAAGATAAAAAAAAAAAGAAAGCCATGAACCAGAACCACCTAGTTAAATAGCTACCACATCTCTACCCCCTTGAAACTGTACTAGAAAATAGATGCTTATTATTTTAGGTTGGCCAAATTTTGGGTTATATAGCAGTAAATAGGTAGTGGGAGTACTTTATGCTGAATAATTTTCACTGCACTTGACATATATCCCAGGAAGTGCTGGTCAACAGTAGAAAAAGTAACGCTTACAGGGAAGAAAGAAATGACAGCGCCTTTATGAAAGCAAAGATAGTAGCTGTGTACATCTCCAAAATGTAACTCATTCTAACAACTACGCAGAAGCCAAACACAATCTCCTTGGCATTATAATAATTATAATAATTCACCCCGTATAAGCATAAATGTGATGGCTTTTGTCCCTTGCTTCAAAGACAAGAAGTAAATCAATTCTCTTTCACTGGGTGTCTTGTAAAAATTTCTTCCTACAAGTACTTCTTGTCACTGACATATCCTTGAAATAGAGGTGTCATATCCAGGGGTGGACAGCTCACCAAGCCATGTTACGCCATGTGCCTGCTGTGCTGAATATGCAACTCCTAGTGATCCTAAACCAGGACCTGGTAAAGAATTAAACTAACTAAAGAACTAAAATAAAAAAGAGTTAAAATGAGGCAAAGTGTAAACAAAGAATGGTACATCTGGAGAAAAAGATAGAAAAGAAAAAAGGTAGAGAGCTACCATGAAGAGGTTGGGAATTTCAGAGCTGAAAGCCCATGAACTCTTCCCCTGGCTCCTTTTATTGGGGACTGGCATCTTTCCCATGCCTCAGTGTCATTATCTGATCTGTCCCCTTGAATGTCTTTGATCCTAAGGTAGGTTTTCTGGCCATTTGGTTTCTTTCTGTCCCTTTGTAATTAATAAGTGAAGGAGGAGGATCTATAAGGAAAACAGCTTACTTAAAGGTTAAGTAAAGGGGACCCGTGAATATGTGTGTATCTGATCTCATCACCTTCATATTAGCATTTTAAGTCTTCTGACTAAACCTCATCTCTTGCTCTGCTGACTTCTTCCCTCCGCATTCCACAAAGCATCACTATCTTGCTGCAAGTTTGTGTTGTCTTTGACTGGGGCAGGGAAATTCACCTGCAGGTGCTGAAAGGTGGGTCATAGGCAGATATCAGTTTGGGCTCAGAACTCCTTGGTGTTTGGGAGAAAAATGGAGGAGTGCCTGCTCTGGTGCTTTCTGGATCTTTTCTCCCTCGGGCCTTTCCAGTTGCAATCTGTTGCTGCCTGAGGTGCAGCTCTTCCTTGGGCCAGCTCCATGT